GCACACGGTGAAGGTCAATCATCCGAGGTTGAATCCTGGAAGTGTATCCCTCTCTCAGCCGTATCAGCAGCCCTTTTGGAAGCTATCCCATCATTCAACGGAATCATGCGGCCCGCCTTTCGCGACGCCATGGGCGGCGGCCTTCTCGGGGGCACCTGCCTGATGGTCATCGTGGTGGTGCTCTCCGCAGCACCTGGAGGGGAGGCGTTCCTGTGCCCTGCGGCTGTGCAGCAGCACGGTGCCGCTGCCTCTGGGAAAATGCTACAGCAGCGTTCGGCGGTCAAGACGAGGTATTATACACAGACGGAGACAGACATGGGATGAACGAGTGTCGCAGCAACCCCACATGTACCACCTCGCTCTCGAGCGCGTTGGGTCGGGTGCACCGAATGGATTCGGTACCTGCAAGTGTCTTGTAGAACGGCAGCAGTAGTGATGGATCCAGAAGCAGTTGCAGCAGTCGTTTGGAAGGTGTGTCCTCCTGTTCGAGCCGAAAATGATGGAACGCGGATATTGGATCTGAAACCTCTTGTTGCCTTTCGGTCCCCCCCCCATACACCCGCCTGTTTGCCTGATTGTACTAACCCTGTGTATTGCGTTTGGTCTACAAGTGTTCGGCGTAGGGAGGTGATGCGAAGCCTCTAGCTAGATGTCCCGCCCCCCCGGCGCGAAAACGACGGCTATTGCAATGCTGAAAGTTCTGAGCGTGCTTGCGTTTTTTTTTTGCCCACGGTGTGTTTTTATGCACATAAAAAGTGGGCACGTGTCTTCTTGGCGCCTTGGTTACACTTTGATAGTAACTCTTTAGGACTAACCGATGTTGAACGTAGAACCAACGCCGAACAACGCCCGACCAATCAGAACGCGTTAGTCCTAAATATCTACTATCAATGTGTAAACACTACTCTCTTCTTGTCCGCCCTTTTGAAACGCTCACAACCATATGCCACTTTGACGAATTCATCTGCCCTGTGGCCCGCCTCCGCCCACGTACAACTCCTCCTTTCCTCCGTGCTTTCAGCTCTCAGCCCGCGCTTCCAGTTCCCGATGTACTCTTTTGACATCAGCAAAATACTTTTTCTCGAGCATACTTGCAAGGTTCCCCTTTATGTTGCTGTAGGTGATGTATGCTTGAGGTGCTCGGCCTGTACCTTCACGCACCAGAAGTGTTCAAGCGGTGTTGGTCGTCAAACTAACCCCTCGTCGCCCCCTCCTGTTCGTGCCTGTTGATTTATCCCTTCGTTTTTCCTGTGCGTGCGCGCGTGCGTGCGTGTTGGCACATCGTGCCTCTTTTTTTTTTTGTACCGCGAAGGGGGATCGGGAGCATGACGGCGGGAGCTGGGGAGGGGATGCTCGATGTAACGTCCCCGTATGAAAACGCCTCTGTCACGCCGTCGACGCCAGGACCGCTGCGTCGCGTTCGGTCGTTCCTCGGGTGAGGAGGACCGCGATTCGCGTTTAATCAGGGTTGTTGTTGTTGTTGCTGCTGCTGCTTGTATGGAGGCGGACAGCTTGCTGCCACAAGCGCAGGGAACGATTGGTGATACCTGGAGCTTGATTATTGGGACCATGGGTGATAAATCGCGCTTGTGTTCGAATACAAGTAGCCGTTATTTGTTTCGAACAGAATGGAAACTATTGGGGTAGAGTAGAGGAAGGAAGAGAGAGCGGGGATTCCTGTGGTGGGGGCTCCGGCCGCCCTACCATTTACACACCCACGTAACCCATTGACATATCGACGAAACCCCCAGGATTCCCGCGGATCAGCGCAATCGAGTGCCGCGTACCCCAAACTTGTTTTTTGCTGGTTTGTGGTCGCGCAAGTACGTTGTTCGCCGATGTCACCGTGGCCGGACCAATAGTACGGCATACTTTTGCCGTCGCTATTCTATGTAGAGGTTTCGAACGACGAGAGGGGGGATCACTAACCCTGGGTTGAGCTAGAGGCACACACATTTTGACGTTGCCGTCCTTCTCTCCGAGTGCTGTAGGGTACGCGGATCTAACCCAGTGGGGGCCTACCGAAGCAGTCCTCGGAGTTTGCTCCTGGGGGAAAATGCCCAGTTGCTTTTGGGGTTGCAATCGTTGCCGTTTCTCTTGGTCGTGGCGTTGGCTGTTGCCTCGTCGTCATTCACGATGGCCGTGGAGAGAGTTTGTTACTGTTGTTGTTGTTGTTCGTTTGTTTGTTTTTTTGTCTCTTCCCTCTACCCTCACGATCGACTCTTTGCTGCTGCTGCGGCACAAATTCTGCTCTTTTTACTGCCGGAGAGGAGGGCAGGTGGG